ATAGAAATGTAATGGACTTTATGGGACGCAGTTTTTTCGAAACGTGTCAGACTTTTTGGGACGGAGGGAGTATATACAAGTCTTAAGTTTTAGTTGTACATCAATCTAGAATAAAATAAATTTATAAAATTTAAAATTTCATTTAATTTTATATAAAATATATAAGGAAATTTACCTATATAGTACTAAAACTTAACATAGTGAGTTTCTCAATGTAGTGCCATATATTTTAATTTTTCAATGAAGTACAACTATTCAATGTCCACTTGATATTGTTCAAGTAAATATCTATCGACACTCGATATTGTTCAAGTAAATGTCTATCACCACTAGATATTGTTCAAGTACTATTTAAAAAATAAAAAATTTTAAGTATTACATTAGAAAAAGACATATACTTTAATATTATTTAGTACAAATTTTATAAATATAAAACATTTGGAGAGTGATAAAGTAAATAGTTAAAAGATGCAAAAATTGGTAGAGTTGGACCACAAGCACAAGATAGGGAAAGAAAATAGACAAGGAATGGGGTGTTCCCCGTTCCAATGCTAACATACTCATTGTCCTCTCCTCTCCTCATTATTGCCTCTGTTTGGTCAACCCTAAGCCCTCCTCCGCCCACTTCCCCAAAAGAAGCCAACCCACCCTGGCCCCTTCCCCTTCCACCGTCCCTTTCACCCTTCATTTATTCACCTATTCCAAGTACTAGTATTTCACATCCTTTTGAATTATTTTCTTTTGAAGTGTTCTTTTATGGAGTATTATTTCTCTTCAAATGTACACCCTTCCTCCTTAATGATAGTTTGTTTGGAATAGGTGAGAAAATGGTAAGAAGGAAAATGAGAGGAAAGAATAAAAAATGATAAGAAAATGGTGAAAAAAGTATGAAAAGATAAAGAAAAAAGAGAAAGAATGCTCTTTCATGTATTTTCTTCTCATTTATGACGAGAAATCTTTTCACATGTTCTCATCCTTTATTTTCTCTCCTCCCTCCATTTTCTCCCATATCCAAACAAGTAAGTTTACATTTAAATTTGTGTTTTTTACCTAACATGCTCTTTATCACAAACTATTTTCTCACCATCCAAACACAGTATAAATTATAAAACCTCATACTCCCTACATGTGTGTTGGGGGTGTTGCATTGCTGGCAAAACAAAAGATGTATAAAGAGTAACATCTGATTTCGATTCCTAATAAATATATTATGAGTCAACTATGAAAAGCGTAGGCTATTTACAAGTACCGGGTCCACGCACAATATTTTGCCACCAATTTGTAATTAAAACTCAATTTACCTTTCTCAGATACAGTATGGCCGGTCTTGAGGTGCCCTCGGAGATGGAGTTCATCCTTTTTTTCATACTCCCCTTATCCCAAATTATTTTTCTCATTTGAAAAAATTTGCAAAAATTTCATTTTTTTGTAAAATAATTTTTTAAATTACCTAGTTCAAAGCTATATAAAAAATTCTATAAAAACAAGAGGTGACAGAGAATTCAAGTCCAAAATCAGGGCGGGAGGTTTCTACACGCCTCGAGTGGAGCAAGTTATTTTTTTCAAAAATTAATACTTGGAATTTTAACATAATATCAGAGTAGGTCAGGTTCAAGTCTGATTCTTACTCATTGTTTGGACGTGAGGTTAGAAATATGAGATACTCGTATGTGGTTTAGGTTGAATTGGCTATAAGAAATTGAGATGTCACCGCTTGTTGGGTGGCTAGCTATAAAAAATATTAAGATGTTAGACTCGTTTGTCTAAGTACTAACTAAGGTCATGTACTCTTCACCTGATCTAATTGATTCTGATCTGAATGGAATAAGTTCTAATCTGAACTGATCTGGTCTAATCTGAATGTAGCTATATTTAAAGTTATTTCTAATTTGATCTGATTCTAATAAGAATAACTAATAAGTAAAAACATAAGTTGAGGAGAATATGACCTAATTCTGGCTAGTTACCACTTTAAGGGGCATGTCAGAATTCTCACGTTAGAAAACAAAGAAAAACATCACTAGCACATAAAAAGGTGAAGCCCTATCCATCAAATTGTTAGTTCCATGGTGTTGGCTAATCTTTTGGCAAAATAGAATCTCATATTTGTTAGGTGTTTTACTAGGTAGAAACCTCTATTTGTTAGGAGAGGTTTATTTTATTTAGACTTCTAGAGTTGCTGCAGTTTTTGAGGTTGACACAGAAGATGTTACAGCACGATGCTGCAACACACTGTTCGGGATCAGATGTCTGAGCACGGGATTTTAAGCTGCAATCTGAATTAGAGACCTATTGGGACTGTGATTACATGATAATAAATCCAGCTGTACATGCTAAGGAATCCCAACTCTTTAGGCTACTTGTGGATCAAGATTAAGGAAGTAGAGTTCAAGCCAACTTCTACTATCTTATTCCTACTTGGATTGTGTTAAGAGAAGCCTATAAAAACGCAGAAGGTCCCTGGGAATTACTTGGAGCGATTGAGAGGGAAAACAAAGAATATACGCTGATGTAGAGCATTCCCGTCGCGTCCCGGAGCTTCCCTTGCATGAAGAAAGTTACGATATACATGAAGAAGGAGTCCTACAGTGAAAAACAGATCGTGACTACCAGGAGGTGGACAAGAGCTTAAGGAGAGGGCTGCCAACACGTTTGTCCTCGTGATCTCGGTGGAGATGTGATAGCTGAAGCGGATCTGAACAGAGTTCGGGTTAAATATCCTAGATTAGAAGTTTTGTCATAGCAATTCGGAGAAGGGTGTCTCATCATGTTGTTATGTACCAGTGTAACTTGCATCTAGTGATTTTGTGGAGGGCTATTACACGGACGTGGGCCCCGCGGACTAGGAGAGTTCTTTGAACTGCGTAAACATATCTGGTGTAATTTTTTACCCATTTTATAGTTACAGCATTCTGCCCAGTAGGCGTTGTAACACCCTCTACATCATCTGCTTCTGTGTGCGTGTGATCATGACGGAGAAGACGTTATAGCACACTGTCTGTCATCTGTTATTGTGACAGTGCTGCAGTATCTTCTCTACTGCATAATTGATTGATCTGTTTGCATAGCTTTCAATTGGTGAATTCTGCTGCGCCTACATGAACTTACACAAATCAAACATTAGGATTAATTGTGGATCACAACTTTATTTATATGAGTGTTAATTGTACTTATCACTATGTCCGTTGTTTTCTGCCTACCAGAATTTTATAATAGTATCAGAGCAAGTTTTGGCTCAACTAGTTTGTCAAATGTGTCTATTTAGACATTCATTTCTAGCGGTCCTATTCTTTAGCTCGGTTGTCTGTTTGGAAAGTATATCTAACAGTTCTTGCCTCTTTTAACTTGATTGCTCATCTAGAACTTTATATCTAGGGGCTCCTAATCCTTTAGGTGTTACCGCTCAAGTATTCAATTTCAAGGGATGAAAATGCATTTGCAAGTTGCCAAACAATTATATTCAAAATGGTCTAGTTGTCAACTCAATTAAAACAAATCAATAAAATGTTATAAAAGTAGTACAGAGTATTATTTAAAATAAAAATTTAAAAATGATGGGGATGAAATGGGGATCCACTACGGACCTATATATGTGATCAAAATAGCCTTTTTAGATCAAAAAAGATATTCGAAGTAGGCAAATTTTATGGTGGACTTTAAGTCCACAATGAACCTATATATGATCAAAATAAGAATTTTTTACTTTTTAAATAATCATTTATTTTTTAAATAAAAAAAATAAAAAAATTATGTGAGAAAATCCACAACAATGATATACACCCAAGATGCACTATAGAAGCACTCTTCGAAGTATATTCCATATTACTCCGTAATAAATTATTTTCCAAAGGAGTGAATGACTTTTCTAAAGATTTATCCATTGTTTGGTTGGTGAAAAAAAGGCAGAAAGAAAAAAGAAAGATGAAAAAACACAAATTATAATACATGTTTGGAGTATAATTTATCATGTTTGGATGAGAAAGAAAAAAGTAAGAAAAGTAAAAATTTGTGTGGAACTCGTGCTATAACTTTTCTTATCAACAAGGATGAGAAAATACATTTTCATCATCTTTTCTAGCTAGTTTTCTTATCATTTTCTATCTATCCAAACACAAATTCTCTCTCCATTTTCTCATTATTTTCTTTCCTCATTTTCTTTCCTCTCATTTTTCTCCTCATCCATAAAATCTTCATTTTTTTAATATTTTTTTTCTCACCAAAAAGTCTCGCATTAAAATTGACAAAGTTACTAATAAAAGTGAAAATTTATTATTGGCGTCAACACATAAGAAGAAAATATTAATTGAATCTTACGGAGTATTTAAAGACAAATTTAAAAAATGTAAATGTGACCGCGTATAAATTTCAAAAAATAAAAACTACGTATATTTTAAAATACTTGCATCACATTAAAAAATAAAAATAGAACTCAACTACTCAAGTCTACAATCTCTCTGAATCATTCGGGCCCGGCCCAGAAATCTTAAGTTCACACTATTTTTTATGGACTCTCTCACATAAACTTACACTCTTATACAAAGATTCACCTAAAATGAAGTGGAACCTTACGTCCACAGTAGCATTTGGCCTTTTTTCTGACGAAAAAAATCAAATTAAAAACCATATTGCTAAAAAACAGAGTATATATTAAGAATAAACCAAAGAATAGACAAACATTTTGGCAAACAACTAATTTTTTCAAAGTTAGTTTTTAAAACACACAACTTTGCCTATTTAAAAACGGAGAAACATGTGCATACACTCTTTTCTCGGACTTTATTCGAGAGATTTTTACTAGGTTTCTTGTTGTATCCTACACAAGTCATCCATAATAAGGTCGGGAGACAGGCCTCACCCCTACTTAGAAGTAGAGAGGTTGTTCTTAAAAGAGCTCAAGCTCGAGCAAAGTCAACATAAACCAACGAAAAAGACGCAAAGCACAGATGAAGTAGCCATGAGTAAAGAGCAAAAAGCAAGGACAAATGCTTTATAATATACAGAAACCCCCACAAATTATATTAAAATTATAATAATAACTCTGTAATAATCAATTACTCATATCTGTATAGTATACAAGATTGAGGAAGCGCGCGACGAAAACCCCAAACCAAAGTTGATAAGCATTTTCCCTAAGTTTTACACAACTCTTAAACTGACCAGTGACCACAATCTGAAGTAAAATTACCTGATAGCATGAACAAGCTTTGCCCCCCCAATGAAAAACTAGTTACCTATGTTACTTGTCACAGTTAAAGAAATCACACCATTAACCGAATAAGAAGCCAATGCAAATACTCTAATACTTCCACAGGTTTAGTGGTTAACCTCAATGTTATGATGTGGGCTGCGGAAGATTTGTGTGGATAGGGCCCATTCATCCTCCGGTGTGTTGTGTTTGATCCACCATAGGTGGGAGGAGAAGACCAAGCCTTGTTTTATATCTACCAATGCGCTTTAGCCTTTCTTCTCTTAATCTGCAGATTTATCGGTCACATCAAGATATGTCACATTATTACTTCAATAACAGATTGCCAGCCGCGGCACGGAAATGCTTGTTGCATTGTAAATTAGAAAAGGTAACCTTTGCATAATAAAACCCTAAAAAAGAGGGGAAAGAACGGAAATAGAAGAAAAGGAAAAAGGGGAAAGTGGGGTGTAGTCAGTTTACAAAAGATAGACTCACTGGCCTATTCTCTCCCACCTGAAACTGTTGACTGACCCAAGAAAGGAGGCGTGAGAAAATTTGCTTCTCTGTGGAGGGAGAAAAATAAATTCTACTCCCCTCCTTCTTGCAAAGATCTTCAATCTTTCCTTTTTCATCCATCCCAAAAAAAATTACTTTCCTTTCAGGAATATAATATGTGGCCCAAAAATTTCTCTTTGTTCTTAACAATTTCCAACCACACTTTTTTTACTTTTTAACACTTCTTAAAATCCGTGAAAGTCAAACAAAGAAGATTTTTATGGGAGGGTGGTAGTATTTTGTTGTGTGGGGCGGGTGAGAGTATACTCGTCTTTAAATCCATTTTATTGTGATAGAAAGGGCAACAAATGCCACATTCCACAATTTTGAATCCACTCACATAAAGAATTTGAAGCGTATTTAAAAAACTCAAGTATCTGTTCCATAATATTTTCTATCATATTCTCATTTGGTTCTTTTTACCACCTTATGGATGAAAGAGTGCATAATGGGGAGGCAAATTAGTCAAAAGATACTCCAATCATAACGAATTTGATTATACTAGCATATACTACTCAAACTCACCCAATAGAGAAGAGAAATAAGATGAAGTGTTAAAAAAAATTCATTTATTATCCCTACATATTTGATTATTTTCTATCCTCTTGTAATTCGGTTCTTTTAACCCCTTCATGGATGGGACAGTGGGGGATTGAAGAGGCCAATGAAGTCAAATATAATCTAATCATAAAAACATGAATGATTATTTAACTTACCTTGACCTAATTTTCTTTGCACGCTTGACATGCATTTGCAACAGCTTTTCTGTAGATAGATGCTCAAGCGATACATCATCCTGAAATTTGAAAAAACATTATTACTCTCTTCCATATGGAGGAAATTGGATTGTCATTTGTGAGGATCATTATATTTAAATGTACCTTAGTTTAGAAAGAGTTTAGACATATGGTTAAGGAAGTCACTTGGTTTTTTGTTCTTAGAAGAGCATTAATGTGTTCATATGCATTTTCAAGATACTTAGCACTTAATAGTATAGGATAGAGAAAAATGAAGAATCTCATTCATTCCAAGCAGACTAAATACAAAGAACAGTTTAGTTATTACATATTGTGTGCTTGAAATGCATGAATAAGAAGCTTCCAGGTTTTCTACAATCAAATGAGTCTTCAAAAACCCCTAATAGTGTGTTTTCACAAGCCAGCTTATTTGAAAATTGTCCAGCTCTTCCGAATACTACATGGATACTGGACAGCTATTTACCCTATTTGGAAGCCAATGCTCTACTCCTTAATAAAATGAAAAAAAAAAGTTGCTTGCAGTGTGAAAAACCTGTAGTTGTGTGTTTACTGTTTAGGCACTACTCCTCAAAAGCTAGCGGCTATCAAAGAGTTTAATAAGTAGCTTTTTAGCTAGTGGCACCTAACATTCACCTTAGCATCAAACTTGTGGTGTCAGTGCTCATAATAAAAAACTGACCTCCTCTTGTCCCGCAATATCTTCCTTCTTCTCAGGTGACTGAGCATCTTGTGGTTCCACAGGTGATGGCTTAGGAAGAGACTTTTCAGCATCCATATACTGCGGCTGCCACATGGATATATCATAATTAAATTGGAAAAACAAAAGAATTACTATTACATTGAGGTACGTGTCACAAACTCTTAAGAAATACAGTTCTCGATGATATATTAAGGGGGGAAAAAGTAAATTGAACTTGTCTAGTAAAGGACAAGAAAAACAACTTCAGCTTTTCAGACCTGGGTATCTTCAGGAAAACCATTCCTCAACCACGACCGACATAACGTATAGAGGGAAGCAGTATCAGTAAGTCTGACCTGCGATATTAAACAAATTTTACTATCAGAGCTATCCATGTCCGAGCTACAAAAAGGAACAGATGTCATAAACACGCAAACACTGCAAGAGTGCACCTAGTCAAAGAAGACGCATTGTTAAAGATTGTATATAAGTTTCCTAAACACTGCTCTGCATATGAAAAGTACAATGTGTTTTACAAATAGAAGAAACATATCTATGATCCGATCCATCCAAACACGTTCAAATGCTCCAGAACGATAAGATGCGGAATATATTGGCACAACATTTTCTTACTGTTATGCAAAATTTTCATTATAGCATATCATGATACAATATGCATAAAAAAGGAATTCAATTTTGTGTGTGATAGATCTTTTAAAAAACGGAAATGTGATGCATGCTTTAATGAAGTGAACTGTTTTCACTTATTTCTTTAGAGACGATGCAAGAGCTACAGTTAGTGTAAAGCAACCACAGTACAACGCATAGCCCATGTACACCAAATAGAACAAGCAACAGTTTATTTGCAAGCTATCACTTGTTGAAAGTGACAAAAAGGTATGAACATGTTCTCAATCCTATGAAGTGTGGAGTGAGTACCAAGGTGTTTGTTATTTTCAGAGATCATCTTATTCGTAGAAGACTAAATGATGTAAACAGCACTTGTCAAAGCAATGTACATTGTCTGGTTAGCGTATTACTCCATATTTGTCATTAGCATGAAACTAAGAAAGAAAGAATTCCCTGCACATCTATACAACCAACTAAAAACAAGTATTCCTTGTGATTGTTTAAGTCAAAGAAGGAAACAAATTTACACAAACCAACCCATAAGAAGTGTTATGCTTACTTTCCTATCTCTAACTACTGACAAAGAATCATCTTTACTTCTATCCCTGCAATAAAAAGAGCATATTGGGTAAGTAAGAGTTTCCGAATGAATATACATAGAGCATGGCATATAAAAACAACAAACAACAACCCAATTGGATCCCACGAATGTAGGGTTTGGGGAGAATGTATGTGCGCAGGCCTTGGCCCTACCCAAAAGTACGGCATGGCATATAAAAACTTGATGAAAAACAAGGTCTCTACCTTCCATCTTTGGAGCCACTCAAATCGCCAAAAGAAGGCTTTGCGGGAGCCACCTATAGAACATATCGAGACACCAGGTTAATCGTTCAGCGGTTAGCATAATAATTTGGAAATGCCTTAGAAACTTCGAATGACCAGTTCACTGTTACCAATCAAAATCGCATCAAAGAGAGCAACTAAGTTATATGTTTCTCTATAGCTTCTTGCTGCAAGGACAAACTGCTGAGTATATCATAAAATAACTATGAAAGGAAAGCATATACAAAGCCCCATTTTACATTTGGTGATTTAAAATAACATTTTCCTATCTCCAAAGACTATTTATGAATAGACCAAAGAGTTAATGTCATATTACTATGTCCTCTTAATTCCAGAAGACATTTACCTATGCCTGCTGGGCATAGTCGAGTTGGTTCCGGAGGGGGTAGAATTGCTACAAGGGGCAAGGTTTGATTCCCGCAGCATGTAGTGTGGGAGCAACATTCTGCAGCCCATTTTTTGGGGCTATAAGGATGGGCTCCTTGCACAGCTGTGGGAGAAACCTCCCCCTTTAATGGGCCATTAGGCTCCTGATTTACATCCTTCCAACTACTCCATCGGGGGCCAGGGTGTGGGGGGGCCTTGGGGTTGGGGATTCAACCTTTTGCTACAGACATTTACCTTACAACTCACTATACAAATGTTGAGCCATTACAGTTTTAACCACCAAGATCTGGTGGAAATAAAAACTTTTACACAAATCTTTTCCAGAAGAACACATATGTTCACACATCAGAACAATGCAGTAAGACACCTTCAACAAGAACATCAAAATTCTAAAGACAACATCCAAATACAGATTGCAAACCAATACAAGTGTTAAATTCAGCGAAGGGGGGAGTACCTTCTGATGAGCAGAAGAAACTGGAAATCCTTGAACGACCACAGGTACTAGAGTCCCGGCATTTGCAGTGGAATTAGCAAGAGTGACGGAGGCGTGGGTCAAATTGGAAGGCCTGACGAAGCCCAGTCCGGGCCCTGAACCCGGATCCGTATGAGCAGAAACCCCAAAAGGCGGAATTGAGGTAGCGTACCCAACAGCAGGTCGGGTCACGTAATTACTCTGATTAGGAGGAGGACAAGGCACGGCGGGGCCGGAAACATACCCCCGGCCAGAGGAAGAGACAGGGTAGAGAGTGCTCTGAAGCTGCGGCGGAGCTAATTGGGAGTAGATGGGGTTTTGATTCGAAGGGAATCGCTGGGGCTGTGGGGGGAAAGGATGGGGCTGGACGGTGAGCGGCGGTCGGGAGTTGGAATACAGAGGTCTCGTCGCGGTGGTGGTGGTGGTCGCGGTGGCGCCGGAGGAAGCGACGGCGGAGGAGGAAGGGTTATGCGGAGCCGGCGGGGCTGAGAGAGCCATGGGTTTGGCGATGGCGCGGAATTCCTTTGTTTTGGTGGGGTGATATTCTTAAAGTAGATTCCTTTCTCTGCTTGAATCACACAGTTTGAAATTTGCAATGTAGTGCGGTTTACTATGCATTTGAACGCCGAAAAATAAAATAAAATAAGTTTAAAACAAAAAACAAATAAAAAATTGATGACAAGAAAAAGTCATGATATAGGTGTTTATTGTACATTTAATATATTTAAATATCTACAAATTATATAATGCTCATTTTATATTTTTATATCTTTGCATCTCAGGTCATGTGTTATAGTAAAGTTTGAAGAGATGTCAAGTATGCGTTGAAACGATATGTAAGTAAAATATGGGTACCGTGTCATCTGTGTGGTTTGAAAGGGTTTGACCGCCAGGCGATGGGTGAATATGTTAAATATTTTGTATCGTTGAAATAAATATGTGTTAAATTTTTAATTTGTTGAATATTTTAAAAAATGTGATGGCCTTTACGGTTTTACAATCCATGGAAGAGGTGTAATGGGGTGCGGGGGCGTGAAGGAGGTGGTCGAGCCCTCCATGTGTCTTTATAACACATGGCTTGCCTATGATATGCCCATGGTGAAATTTATTTTCACATACTCGGAATATGTAATAATTGTACAATACTTATTTTGTTTCTGAAAACAAATTATTTTATTATTCTTCTCATCCATGAAAAATTAACTCTCTTCATGCAAATTCAAATCACTTCTTTCAGTTTATTATGTTTTACTAAAATTATTCTTAATACGTGATGGGTATATCCTCATATCCGGCCCGAATCACCGAAAGGGACAAGTCAAAATATGACCGGTCACTTTCTTCAATCACCAAATGAGGACAACTCATCGATTGAGATGGGTCAAAAGTTGAACGGTCACTTTCCTTTAAAAAGTGACCGGTCACATGTTGGGCAATAGCCAAAATGTCACCTAATGTTACGAAGGATATTCTAGAAGACCAAAGAGACGGGTTGAACTCAAGAAATGACCGGGTAACCTTTGAAGAAAGGTGACCAGTCATGTCACTTTACTTGGCTAACATTGGTCCAGTCTCTTAGGCATGGCAAACCACACCAAAGATCGGGGGACCATCACGAGGCATACAGTGAAAGGGATGTTTGTCATTTTGCAGGGTTGATTGGATTGAGAATATCCATCTTATAGTCATTGATTGAACAGTGCTTCTTGTTGTATTAATAACAAGTCTATGATTGAACAATGATTAGATTATGTACAGTGACCTTCCTCCGGATTTCCTATTTTGTCCATGGATGAACAAAGGAAGGTCACAAATCCTTCTCTATAAATATGATGATTATGGATAGAGGAGGAGATCCATTCTTTATCTCACTAAAAAAGTACACTCTTGAGACAGAGTAATAACTATAATTCGGACTGAGGAGATTTACCCGGTCTAGGTCATACTTTGTGTTCTTGTTGTGTGTTTTATATTACTGGTCGAGTGTGTCCAGGTCAAACCCAGTTAACTCACCCATCTATATTTACACCATCAATACGAATACAATTTATTTGGGAATTATAGGGGAATTATAAAATAAAGTTTGCATATATAAAAGCTATTAAAAAGTTATACGAAACAAAAGACGACATGACTATATTATTTAATCAAATGAGTATTCAAGAATGAAAAAATGAATGGTATAAGACCCACTGAGTAGTAAAGATGTAACTTAATTTGGAATCAAGGAAGTAAATCCTAAAAAGTAGATTGCAAAATAAAAGTAAACTTGTATTATTTTTAGAGTGAATTTTGAAAATGATCCTTTTTAATAGGTTCTTTTCCCAAATCAAGCAAGATTTATTTGCTCAATGTTCACATGTGAATATTAATTCTTAAAATATTATTAATGCATAAAATTAGAGCGTGAGCAATATTTATTCTTTTTATAATATTTTTATTATGTAAAGCACCCTTTTGTAAGCAAAATTTGTCTGCTCGTTGTTTACATGTGGCACCACTTAATATATCACGAACTTGAATTTTATCACCCACTTAAAATTTAAGTTAATGATATATATCAACCAAATTTTAATATCGTATTAAAAAATCAAGTTTATAAATTGCAATCCTATACATATTACACTTTAGGCATGTTCCACTCATAGTCATCATATGGGCTTCTTTCGGGTCGTAGCAGCCCATGGCCCATTTCACACGGGTTCTACCTCAATTCTTAGTTGGGTTATCACATTATTTTTTCGGGTGAATTTTCAACAATGTCTATGGACACTAAAATAGTAAAATAATTTTGATCTCAAGCATTACACAAACAATACTGTCTATGTATGTTTATGTAATATTTTAAATTATATTGGTGTCATCATTTTGATGTCCCTTGACATTTTTGTTTCCAACGAAAGTTGGATTAGACTCGACATGTTATGTTTAACTACAAATAAAATGGATCAAAGATGTTCGACATTTCGTGCAACTCTAGAGGGGGGGGTGAATAGAGTTGTCGAGAACGATTACCGATTTTCGCATGATTAAATAAGATAAATGAAAGTGCAGCAGAAATAAAAGAGGGAAGACAAATAACACACCGATATACACTGGTTCACTACAACATGTGGCTACGTCCAGTTCCCCGAGAGACTCTCTCGAAGCTACCACTACTTTTGTTAAGCTTACGACTGCTTAACAAACCGTTACAACAGGATAACTTGAATCTCACAAGCCTCAATACAACCGCTCGTAGATATACCCTCTACAAAACTTCACAACGAAGACTTAAATCACATAAGTCTTGTACAACAAGAAGAACAATCTTCTTCAACCTTTCAACAAAGACTCTCGCAAGAGTAGAAATGAGAAAATGATTAAGCACTATGGATGGCGAGAACACTCTCTTGAAAACAAAAAGTTTTCTCTCAAAATATATGAATTTGAGAAAGAATGGAATGGACGATTATAACCTCGAGATATGGGAGTTTATGAATGTTTGTTCATTCTGAAAATCACCAAGGAATCGTGATTAAATAGGGGTTGAAAGAATATATCCATTGGGGAAAGAAATGAAATGTTTTGACAGGTTTCATCTTAGAGGATCGATTCATGCCATGTGATCGATCCACGGTTGATCGATCCAGGCCTTTGGATCGATCCAAATAAATTGCAAAATGAAGAAGAAAAATTGAGCTGAGTTTAGGGGATCGATCCATGCCTCTAGATCGATCCACCATAGGTATACTCCACACGATGAAAGTTTTGTGTGATCGATCCAGACAAGAGGATCAATCCACTAACGGATAATTCTCTAACATGAAGGCCCCAAGACATGTGTACGAGTTGAAGGATGCTTTTGGAGCTTTTACCTTGTTTGGGACAAGGGAAACAGTTGAGGAGCCTCCCCAACTCATCAAAATAAATTCAAATTCAAATTTGAATATTTGAATGAATTTTTTGGTGTAAAAATAAGTCTCAAAAATATTTTGTGTGTCAAAAGATATACACGAAAAAAATTGAATAAATTATTTTTGCTTATTAAAAATATTTTCTAATATCAAAATAAGTATTTTGATGAATGTTTGACACACCTTTTGTAACTGACTCAATAAAATTATTTTGAATAGTTAAAGAGATTTTTCAACTGACCCCAAAAATAAATATTATTTTTATTTTAACTCTCGTAAAAATAATTTTTGGAGAGAGACATTTTTTTCATCCTTACAAAATGTTCCTAGACTCAATAAAATAAAAAGTCTTCGGAAATCTTCTAGGGAGAAAGACTAAAGTAGGACTAAAACATTGAAAATATACTTCCTCCGTCCCCCTAAGATGTTCTCATTTTGACTTTTGGTAGTTTTTAAGGAGAGTTGAAAAAAAGGTGAAAGTTTACCATAATACCCTTAATGAAAATGAGTGGAGTGTATTAAATGAGGTGGGTGAGGTGTAATAAATAAAGTAAGTGAGGGTAGTTGTGGTATTTTAATTGTTAAAAAATGAAATGAGAAGATCTATTGTGGACAAAGAAAAAGGGCTATTGGGAAGATCTATGGGGGACGGATGGAGTATCAAAATAAGACTTCCATGTTTTTATTCTCGAAATAGGATTTACATTACCAAACATGGTCATATATATTACCAAAAAAGTATAGTAATGCGCACATGTACGCTGCCACATTACCACAGTGCAAAGTCACATTACCACAGTGCAAAGTCCTATTTCGGGAAAAAGACATGGAAGTCCTATTTTGGTACTTTTCTCTATGTTTTAGTCCTATTTAGGGTGATTTCTAAATCTTCTACTCCTCCCGAGTCTTCCGTTAGGCGCTCCGAACGCGTCTCCAATAAAATGATGTGCACATTCTTGAATACTTCAAGGAATGACACTTCAAGCATGTGTGTTTGTCGATGTAGCACTTTAACATTCATTTGAATAAATTGTACTCCGTATTTGTCAATTATCAAAATCTATGAGTCAATACTTAACAACACAGAAAGGGTTAGAACTCATGCATTCCAATAATTTCTCACTTTTTGATAATGACAAACACATGGAGGATATGATATCAACAAATAAAAATTTAAAGGCATAAACTCATATATTCTTTTCCTTTTGGCATTATAAAAAATAATGCAAAAAAAGAACTCATGTATTTGGGGAGTGAATAAAAATTATGAATAATTAAAAAAAGCACATCCCCCTAAAATCATGCATTTATAGGAAATAAAAACTATAACTACATTCAAATCAAATCAGACTAGATCAAAATTATTTCAATCAAATCAAGTGAAGAAAGATTGACTTAATTAATAAGTAGAAAAATAAGTCCTGCAAAAGGATCCACTTAATACAGACAGTCGGGACAGATCCCATCGTGCCCTGATGTGTTGGGCCTATTATTGGGTCTGTTAATCTGTATAAATCTTGTCCAGCCCGCCTGCCACGACGTATGGTTCTTACTCCGTACAAGTTTGGCCCTAATCCCATTTACAACATTACTTCGGCCCGTTAGATAGGCCTATTGTTTTTTTTTACTTAAAGAGTACTACATACTCTCTCGGTCTCAGTGTATTTGTCC